TTATCTCGCCGTTTCGAGTGACGAAAGTGGTATATTCTCTGCGAATGCGGACAACGATGCCAAATGCACAGAGGCGTTTCGCTTACCATTTAGTCGCTGGAACTATCTTTAGATAATCTTGATAATGCCGACCATTGATGTCACGTTGAACAAATATTGCTTAATTTTTCAGTTTTTACAATAATTACCATCGTGATGAACAGAGGTCAGCAAGACTCCGATGACGAGTGTAGCCTTCATTCGTTCTTGAGTTTCGGGACCTTTTTATTTCTGATTCTAATCTGATTATCCTATGTATTCTGTGGAAAGCGTATTGATTAGGTAACATAGGCAGGAAAATGCCTTCCACACCTGGATCTCAGTTAATGAGACAGATCCATTAAATTTATGTTCAATGATCGCTGTCGTTTTTGCTGCCCCCTGGTCCACATCCACACGTGATTGGTTGAACCCGTGGCTTATCTGTCGATAGTTTTCCAGAAGTGCATGGGATTCGTCATGATGCAGTTCGTCTGTGCACGTTCTTAATGTTGAAGCCTACGGAATGGCTTTCTCCAGAAGCCCTCTCGAACCGCTTATATTTCTTTTGCCTTCAGTATATTTACCTTTTTGCTTTGCCTCAAGGAAAGTTTGAATTGGGAACTCCCTAGCCCACTCTTCACTGTTTAGTCCACATTTTGATTGAAATTTTCAAACGGCTTTAATTTTTGCTGTTTGGCCTTTGGTGGTGTATTGGCAAGTATCACGCTTACCACGCGCGCATTGTAGCGAGTCAAGCCCCCATTGGCTAAGGCCCACTAACTAACTAAACCTTCTACCCCTTGTACATCAACTGGTTCCCTCAGGTCATTGTCAGGCCACATTGCATTCATGCTTTTATATGGTATGTGGCTTACTGCTCAGGACTGCCCTGACCACTGAGGCTACATTCATACTTTGTAGCAGCGACCACCAGCGTTTCGAGCGTCCATCAGCGCCAGCGACTAAGAAAGTGTAAGTATCGTTTTAGCGAACGCCAGTGTCCACCAGCGTCTACCAGAGACCACCAGCGTCCAGGAATATA